GGACGCCGGGCCAACGGAGGCGGCGGCGGCGAGTCCGCGGCCCTGCCGGGAGCGAAAGCGACGCCGCGGTCTTCCCAGGCGACGCGGAGAGCAGGTAAGAGCGCGGGCCGCCGCGGCTGTGGGAGGGAGCGCGGAGGGCGCGACGATAAAGCCTCGCTGTCCCGAGTGCCGCCGCCTCCCTCCGCGCCCCCGCCCCGCGCCTGTGTTGTTTGCTCCGGGGTTTGCGGAGGGTTTTCCGGAGGCTGTGCGGGTGACACCGGCCGCCAGTCGGGGAGGGGGGCCGGTGCCTTCGGGCAACGGTCGGGGAGCGGGAGTCGGAGAAAGGGGAAGGCGCGCTGCGCGCCGGCCCGCGGGGAGCGCGGGGCAGGGCTGAGGGACGAGGTTACGGACCCCGGCGGGGGGGATGGGCCGCGCGCCGCTGGGCTCGCTGTGTTTACATCTCCGCGCGAGTCACCTCTGCCGAGAAGCGGACTGAACTGACCCGCCTTCTCCCGCGGGGAAGCCAGGGCGGGGGTCCGGCTCCGGAGGAAGCGCGTCCTGGGAGGGTCCGGTAGGGCGGGCGGCTGCGGCCGGCGCTGGGGCAGGGCGGCCAGCCCGGGGCGGGACCTGGGAGGCTCCGGCCGCTCGGGGTGGCGTGGACGGCTGGAGAGCAGTTTCCTCCCCCGCGGGCCTGACCGCCGCCCCTTCCCTTCCCTCCGCTCCTAGCTTGCACGGCAGGTTGTACTCGGTCATTCTTTTATTCTCGCTTTCCCTGCTGCCACTTCCCGCATTCCCCGGGGGTAGGGAGGTTTGGCTGTTAGGAATCTATTTTTTTTTTTTTTAAACAAACAAAAAAAACGAGCTCTGTAACACGCGCGTCCAGTGACCGCCTTCTGGATCCTCTCTTCGCGAGGCTGGCCCTTAGGACCGCGCTAGCCGGCTGTTTTGCGGGGCGCGGGAGGAGGGCTCTGCTGGGCTGGTGCTGACTGCCCCCGCAGCTTTGCGAGCAGGGCAGCCGGGCCCGGCTCTTGCGCCAGTTGGGCATTTTTATTCCATGTCAATAAAGGACAGAAAATATTCCAAAACGCCAAGAGTAATACAGATTGTACAGTTTCTAATGTTTCTCATGTGCCAGCATCCTGGGCTCTTCCTCCTCCCCCCACCTCGGAGCTAGATTCGCTGCAGAAAGAGCCTTTAAGTTCGTAATACTTCATTAAATGAATAAGACGGGGACACTTCATTGTAAAACTGTAGAATTTCCCTCCTTTCTTGTGTTCATGAACATTTACTTCAGCTGTGTGGTTTAAACGTTAATCCGGTGATGAGAGAACAGTAATCGTGTGTTTGGTAATCAGATTTGCTTTCCTTTTCATCTGTGAGTCTATCGAGAGGTAAATTATGCACTTTCGCTAGTGTCATAATCCTAGAATAGTGCTAGCCATCTCACAAGAATGTGTGCTTTACTAAGATAGGTTTGGATATTTGTGTTTCTTCTTTCCTTCCAAAGGTTTAATGACTTTATAGGACAAGAAAGTTGAATTACATTTAAAGGAATTTGGGAATAATTAAAGTTTATATATAGTGCAGTACAGTTTACAGAGTGCGTTCATATGAATGTTATTGAGGTATCTGCTAGTATACACATGAAGTAGAAAATTGAACTAGGTCATCTGAAATCTGAATAATGTCAACCTATAATCTTAGTGACTTAACTAATTGATTAATCATTGCTGCTCACTCCACACACATATACTCACAGAATAATCAGTTTGGTTGGAAAAATTCCTAACTTTGAGATTTCTGTCCTAAGTACATAGGTTGATAACTGTGGCTATGGTAGGGCCTACCAGTGTTGATGGCTCTACCTGCTCACAGATTGTACAAGTTTTTTTTTTTTTTGGTAACAGCTTTATTGAGATACAATTCATATACATATTGTTCAATTCACCAATTTAAAGTGTACAGTTCTCAGGTTTTTCATATATTCAGTTAGTTTTGCAATGTCACCATAATCAATTTTTGAACATCTTCATCACCCCAAAAAGGAACCCCATAACCATGAGCAGTCTACTCTTGATTTTCCCCAACAGCCCCAAGCATAGGCAACCAGTAATCTACGTCTCTCTATTTATTTGCTTATTCTGGACATTTTATGTAAATGGAATCATACAATATGTGATCTGTCGTGACTGGTTTCTTTCACTTAGCATAATGTTTTTAGAGCTCATCCAAGTTGTAGCATGTGTCATTATTGCTTTTTATTGCTGAGTAATATTCCATTGTATGGCTATACCATGTTATTTTTCTTTAATTAGTTGATGGACATTTGAGTTTCTGCTTTTTAGCCATTATGAATAATGCTGCTGTGAACATTTGTGTACAAGTTTTTGTGTGGACGTGTTTTCATTTCTCTTGGGTACGTGCACTTTAAAAACATCAACTTTTTGAGTTATTTAATACCAAAAGCAAGTCCATTTTGAGTGCCCAATTCAATGATTTTTAGTAAATACATAGACTTGTTATCACCATAAGCCAGCTTTAGGACATTTCTGTCACCTCTAAAAATGACCCTCTGGCCCGTTTGTAGCTGACTCTCATTCTCACCCCCAGCCCCAGGCAACCACTGGTTTGTGCTTTGCTCTGTAGATTTGCCTTTTTTGAATATTTTATATAAATGGAAACATACCAGATGTAGTCTTTGAATCTGGCTGCTTTCATATTTTTGAAATTTATCCATATTGTAGCATCTATCAGTATTTTGTTCCTTTTTATTGCTGGATAGTATTCTATTGTACGGATATACCATGTTTTGTTTGTCGATTGACCAGTTGATAGACATTCGAATGGTTTCCAGTTTTTAACTGTTGCAAATAATGGAGCTTGAACATTT